CCCCTTCCAATTTCCTCAACTCCTTTCTCCTCTCCATCTCCCTATGTCCTCCATGTTATTTGTTATGCTCCACAAATAAGTGAAACCATATGATAATTGACTCTCTCTGCTTGACTTATTTCACTCAGCATAATCTCTTCCAGTCCCGTCCATGTTGCTACTAAAGTTGGGTATTCATTCTTTCTGATGGAGGCATAATACTCCATAGTGTATATGGACCACATCTTCCTTATCCATTTGTCCGTTGAAGGGCATCTTGTTTCTTTCCACAGTTAGGCGACCTTGGTCATTGCTGCTATAAACATTGGGGTACAGATGGCCCTTCTTTTTTAAAAAAAAATTTATTTCTTTTCAGCATAACAGTATTCATTGTTTTTGCACCACACCCAGTGCTCCATGCAATCCGTGCCCTCTCTAATACTCACTACCTGGTTCCCCCAACCTCCCACCCTCCGCCCCTTCAAACCCCTCAGATTGTTTTTCAGAGTCCATAGTCTCTCATGGTTCACCTCCCCTTCCAATTTCCCTCAACTCCCTTCTCCTCTCCATCTCCCCTTGTCCTCCATGCTATTTGTTATGCTCCACAAATAAGTGAAACCATACGATAATTGACTCTCTCTGCTTGACTTAGCTCGCTTGACTTAGTCTGCTTGACTTCAGCATAATCTCTTCCAGTCCCGTCCATGTTGCTACAAAAGTTGGGTATTCATCCTTTCTGATGGAGGCATCATACTCCATAGTGTATATGGACCACATCTTCCTTATCCATTCGTCCGTTGAAGGGCATCTTGGTTCTTTCCACAGTTTGGTGACCGTGGCCATTGCTGCTATAAACATTGGGGTACAGATGGCCCTTCTTTTCACTACATCTGTATCTTTGGGGTAAATACCCAGTAGTGCAATTGCAGGGTCATAGGGAAGTTCTATTTTTAATTTCTTGAGGAATCTCCACACTGTTTTCCAAAGTGGCTGCACCAACTTGCATTCCCACCAACAGTGTAAGAGGGTTCCCCTTTCTCCACATCCGCTCCAAAACACGTTGTTTCCTGTCTTGCTAATTTTGGCCATTCTAACTGGTGTAAGGTGGTATCTCAATGTGGTTTTAATTTGAATCTCCCTGATGGCTAGTGATGATGAACATTTTTTCATGTGTCTGATAGCCATTTGTATGTCTTCATTGGAGAAGTGTCTGTTCATATCTTCTGCCCATTTTTTTATATGATTGTCTGTTTTGTGTGTTGAGTTTGAGGAGTTTTTTTTTTAAAGATTTTATTTATTTATTTGACAGTCAGAGATCACAAGTAGGCAGAGAGGCAGGCAGAGAGAGAGAGAGGAAGGGAAGCAGGCTCCCTACTGAGCGGAGAGCCAGATGCGGGGCTCGATCCCAGGACCCTGAGACCATGACCTGAGCCAAAGGCAGAGACTTAACCCACTGAGCCACCCAGGCGCCCAGAGGAGTTCTTTATAGATCCTGGATATCAACCTTTTGTCTGTACTGTCATTTGCAAATATCTTCTCCCATTCCGTGGGTTGCCTCTTTGTTTTGTTGACTGTTTCCTTTGCTTTGCAGAAGCTTTTGATCCTGATGAAGTCCCAAAAGTTCTTTTTCACTTTTGTTTCCCAGGCGCCCTAGCTTTTGTTTCCTTTGCCTTTGGAGACATATCTTGAAAGAAGTTGCTTTGGCTGATACTGAAGAGGTTACTGCCTATGTTCTCCTCTAGGATTCTGATGGATTCCTGTCTCACGTTGAGGTCTTTTTCCATTTTGAGTTTATCTTTGTGTACGGTGTAAGAGAATGGTCAAGTTTCATTCTTCTACATATAGCTGTCCAGTTTTCCCAGCACCATTTATTGAAGAGACTGTCTTTTTTCCACTGTATATTTTTTCCTGTTTTGTCGAAGATTATTTGCCCATAGAGTTGAGGTCCATGTCTGGGCTCTCTACTCTGTTCCACTGGTCTATGTGTCTGTTTTTATGCCAGTACCATGTTGTCTTGGTGATCACAGCTTTGTAGTAAAGCTTGAAATCAGGTAACGTGATGCCCCCAGTTTTATTTTTGTTTTTCAACATTTCCTTAGCGATTCAGGGTCTCTTCTGGTTCCATACAAATTTTGGGATTATTTGCTCCAGCTCTTTGAAGAATACCGGTGGAATTTTGATTGGAATGGCATTAAAAGTATAGATTGCTCTAGGCAGTATAGACATTTTAACAATGTTTATTCTTCCGATCCAAAAGCATGGAATGGTCTTTCATCTTTTTGTGTCTTCTTCAATTTCTTACAGATGGCCCTTCTTTTCACTATATCTGTATCTTTGGGGTAAATACCCAGTAGTGCAATTGCAGGGTCATAGGGAAGCTCTATTTTTGAATTCTGACAAGTGTTTGTGTGTATACCTTTATGTGTATACACATAGCTCATTAATTTGCTGAATTTCCCCTAGGGGGCTCTATCTGTATATTTTGAAATAAAAAGTTCCCCCATAATTTACACTCATATTATCCGAATCCTGTTATCTGAATCAATGCTTTCCCCTCAATACTATAACTACCATGGAAGAGAGAAGCAAACTCAGATCTTGGAACTCCCCTTGTTTAATGCTCTTGCCTAATAGGCAGTGAGAGTTCTAAACAGAGTGGGTAGGATGGCGCCCCATGGATGGACATACCATAAAAAACATTGTATGGCAGTGAAATCTACTGAGCAAGGAAAGACCCAGTTCTCCAAAAGCTAGTCAGACTGCTGGGGTCAGGCCCAGAGAAAGTGTGGCTGTCAGGAACACAGAGGGAGCCTGGCGGGTTCCCAGTTTGGATTTGGACATACTTAGATCAGTGCTTTTGAACCTGCTGCCCATGCATGCAGTCCTTACAAACAATCCAGGCCCAAATGGAAGGTCTGCCTTTCATCAGCTGGGGAAGAGAAGCAAAGATGAGGAAAACTAATAATGTCTCCCAGTAATTAAGGGATTCTGCTTTGCAAGACACTCTACTCTCTCACTGCAGTAAAGTGGCAGGAGCATATCCAGGATATCTGCCAGTCTCAGGAAGGTGTGTCTCCTGCAGCAAGGGCCAACTTAGGGGCTGTTTCCCACCCAACTCAAGCCACCAGTGGCCATCCACACACAGAAAGTTCTTAGTTGCCTGGAGGATTACCCTGCCACATGGAAAATCCTAGAAGCTGGCTTGAAAAGCACACAGTAGTAAAATAGGGGAGAGTAATAGAAATGGCTAAGCAGATAATAGTTTGGAAACTAAAAGCAAAAATAATAAATCCACACCCTACAATAAAGAAGGGAACTTATTCCAGCTCAAATCTGATGGACAACACTTGGCCCTTAGATCCAGTAGCTAAAAAAGAGAGCAGCTCATTCATAAAGTGGACTCAGCACCTTCCAGGTTTATTGACTCTTCCCATAGAGAACCTTAGTCCTACTGAATTACGCAATATACCCCTGTGCTATGAAATGCTGTTTTCTGGAAATGCAGCTTCTAACTATAAATCACAATTGACGAGTTTATTTCTGTTAGTTACAAACTATTGAAATATTGAATTTTATGGTCTATATGGAAATCAGCATATTTCACAGCAGGAGCCTAATACTCTTGCTTTAGGAGTAAGATCATTTTCCAGTGGGAAAAATACTGTTATATTTTTTCAACTCTGGAAACCTGTGTTGATTTCCTAAATGCTCAAGTGTGTGTGCGTGTGTGTGTGTGTGTGTGTGTGTGTATTAATTTTATTGACATTTTAATGGGAGGAGGGCAAGGTATGAGAATAAAACCTATTGTTTACTAGAATCACAGAATCACAAGGGGAAGGGCAATTCAAGATGCAATGAATGGAAAAGCTGAAATGAACAATATCAAAGATGATTTGGATTTCCATGTTTCCACATAATTTGGTCCTTAATTCAAGGTTATGGCTTTATTTCCCCCCTTTCTTACTTTTTTCTCACCTTTTTAAATGAGAGTTCTTGGTTGCTGAAATTGAACTTGGAATGAGAAGGCACAGATCAGGCCAGAAAACCAAACAATAGAACTGATGATGGGGCCAGGGCTCTGGGGGCTTTGCTGTTCAACGGAACTAGGAACACAGAAATGCCATTGCCTTTCTTAGAGCCACAGTCTATTTGGGAGTCATTCCCAGCTGTTTTAGGCAATTATTTGTGATCTTCCAAAAGGTAAGTGATTTACTTCAAATGTGCCCTTAGACCACTTGAATGTCATAAATTATTTCATTTCAAAAATTTTCAAGTTATATGACTATTACTCACATAGAAAAGCTGACTTTCATTTTCCATTACTAGGAATGGAAGAAGTTGTGAGAGAAATACTCCCTTGATACATTCTTGGACAAATGGATATTACAAAATCTACAGTAGTTAATCCGAGAAAATTGGTTTCTCCTTACCCCTCCTTTAGTTAGCATCAATAACAAATGAAGACAGTGCGGAGAGAATCACAGGGCCCTGGCTTCTGAACTTTAACCCAGCATCATGTAATCTCTTATTCCATCTCTTCCTGGCTCTCCTTGCTTGTCTGTAATATACAGTCACCAGATGACATGCAAATAGCAAGGTCTCAAGCTGACTGGCCATAACAATCCACTCAACACTTCATGTCCCAACATGGCTGCTGAGATGTATCCTTTCTTCATCCTAGCTGGTCATGTCTGAATATCATGTATGATGAAGTATGTGGTGGAAGTTACATAATGTTCAGACAACTAGTCAAGAATCACAGGTGTTTTCATATTCCAGGTATTATTAATCCAGCCTGTATTTACCTCACTAGAGAGTCTAATGGTGACCTCATTCATTTTTACTGTTACTCGTTTATTATGGGAGATCTCGTTCTCCTCTCTAATCGAACTCCATATTACTATGAGCCAAGGTTCCTATTTTCGAGGAGCAGGAGAGAGAACAAGATTCACTCAGCACTGAGGCAATGTTTCCTTGCCAAATGCCCCTGAAGAAGCCTGCTTTGGAAACCCAGTACTCACGCCTCCAGTGATACTAACTTCGTAGAAGCTCTGCTGGTTGGGTCACTCCACTCTGAAAAGAAAGGGCACATGCAATTATTACCCACATTTCCTACTGTCAAATGATCACTCTGAATGAAATCGGTCTTCAAACATGCAGCCCTTCCAGTTACACTCACAGATGCGTGCGTACACACACACACACACACACACACACACATTTTTAGCATCCTGTCATAAATCACAGATGAAAAAGTAAAGGAACCAATCGGATATATCACAATATGACTTTTTGCCACTGTCAATTCATGTTTTCATGATATCAGGTAGGAAAGAGAAGAAAGTAGGGGAGGAGATGACATGAATGTTTGGACTAAGTATAATTTTTAAAAAACACTTACTTTGTAAGGTGAATCCTGGAGTCAGGTGTTGGGATTCCTATAAGGAGGAACACATGAGACAGATATTAGTGAAATACTACAGAGGGAACAAAGGGTATATTTGTTATTATTGAAGGCAGAACTTGCCTAGTGTTCACCAAAAAGAAGCCACTCTTAACAATTCCATTAAGTTGGCTTCTATCCCTAGGTCTATTTGAAGGATAAACAATTGTTAGTCACACCTGCCATAACATGACCATAACTGCCATTCCATCAGACTGATGAAACGTGTGCAACATGGGAACGAATGACCCACATGTGTGAAATTCAAGTGTCTAATTTCTCACTTAGCTAGCAATGATGTCTCTAAGGAAGGAAAGAGGCTCTGGTTCAAACTAACAAATGATCCTGGTTTTTGTTGAAGTGTAAACAAGACCAAAATTAATAGATGTGCTCAGTTGTTTCCTTTTATAGGAACAACCCCAATTTTCTACCTTAACTGTGATACATACATGATAGATGGATCTTGTTTTCACAAGACAAGTGTTCTTAAAACTTCATTACAATTTTGGTGACATACAGGAAGCCATTTGAAATATGCGAGTGGGGCACATTATTTAAAGGGATTTAGATTTGATTTTAAAGTCATCCTGCACACAACTCATTCACTGATTTTGAGAAATATAGATTTCTATACATGGTGCTTTCTGGGAGCATGGCACACCTGTGTGGATCCTGCCCAAACTCGCAGGCAGAAGCACTATGACAATGGACAGAGCACGCATGGCACCATGGGGACAGAAGGGAAAGAACTGACTACAAGACAAGAGCTTCAAAAGGGAGACAACGAATTCAAGGGAATACAAGAATTGGTTATGTCCACTGCTGCTGTAAGTAATCTAGTTTTGAAGCCTAATCTTGCCACCTTATACAAGGAAAAACAAAAATCACAGCATCATTTGTCTTTAAGAGAAGTAATCAAGGGACGTCTAAAAAAAAAAAAGAGAAGTAATCAAGAACAATAACGCTGTGCTTTCATGGCAAGTGAATGTTTTGATCTATTTAGCATGATTTTGTTGCTAAGGAGACTTCGCTTCCAGCAAGATCACCACTCCAGAAGACTACCATAAACTCCACATGATATGGAAAATGTTTCTCAAAGGCTTCTCTACCCTCACTTGATAGAGAACTGACTTTTGACAGAAAACTCTAACATGGATGGCCATTTGATTCCCAATCCTTAGCAAATCATAGATGGCGAGGAAGGGGAAACTGTCCTAGAGGCACAGCCACTGGGAACACTGAGACATGAAAACCGACAGCAAAGGGGGCCAAAGAAGATAACATAGCCAAGTTAGAACTTACAAAGCACAGGAGTCTATGGTTATTTAATATAGAGGCAGGCATTCCTACGCATCTTAATAGCTCCTGAGGGCATAATTACAACATAGTCCAATAACCGGTGCTCATCATAATGTCTAAGTTATCAAGAAAGACCAAAGCATGTTTAGTAGAATATTTATAAGAAGTCAGAAAAATATTAATTACATCTCAAAATTATTTGTATTACATGATTCCTATGGAAGGATGGGCCTTTGGTTATCCAAGAATTTTGATTGCCCAGAACACCTCATTTCTTTCCCAGGATGCCAAATAAATGGGGGGTTAACCATTTGTATGCCCTTCACTATATACAATATTTCTACCCGTTATTTTTTACAAGGGATTTCATTACAATCATATGGGGCAAATTTGGGCTTGTATACCACTGGGAATCAAATGACAAGTTCCAAAGTCAAATAAACCAAACACTTGGTTAGAGAGTAACACATGCAGCTAGCCAGTCCCTGTACTGGTCCCAGGAAGATGGCCCGAAGTTTTAATCTTCATCCAAGTATTCTGGACTTTAGGCCCGAATAGTCAGTTGCTCAAGGCATTGGGGCAGTGATTTATGAAATGAATTTGAGGATTGCATTATTTATTGCATTAGGGTTACTGGAGTTATACATTCTTGATACTTTTTTTTTTTTAAGTAGTCTCCACACCCAACGTGGAACTTGAACTCACAACTCTGAGATCAAGAGCCAGATGCTCTATTGAGTGAGCTACCCAGGTGCCCCTTTATTACTGTTTTTAATGTTAAGCTGCATAAGACTTTTTAAAACCAGAATTCCAAACAAATGAAACACCTTTGGATAACACCCAAGTTACCGTACAGACACACCCAATCCCAACTGGAAATAGCTTGGCTGTGTGAAAAATCTGCATTGTTCATGCCATAATTATTGATGCCCAAAATATAATTTTTTTAAAAAAGAGGCTTGACTTTGATCTGTGTGTTTCTTTCATAGGCATGTCACATAAGTAATTTTAGCAACAGAATATAATGACATCCAATTGTTTTCACAAGCTTAAGTGAGAATATTTTCAGTAATGACTGTGATGATAAGCCCACAATCAGACATTCCCACAGGATCTTGGTCCAGAGCAGTGACTGGCAAACTTTTCCTGTAAAGGGCAGGATACTCAAGATTTTAAGCTTTGGGGTGGGTTGGGCATATAGTCTCTGTCACAAGTACTCAACTCTGTCACTGCTCTACAAGAGCAGTCGCAGCTGATATGTAAATGAATCAGTGTGGCTGGATTCCAAGAAAGCTTGAGTTATAGACGCCAGAGTTGGATCATCTCTGTGAAACCTTTACTGAACTTCCCCTGGGGATACTATCAGTTCCCTCACTTCTGCTCAGCAGTGTACTCCCTTCCTTGTGAGTCCTTTTATTCCTTCTGAGAAAAGGGCATTTTCAACTTGGAATGTGAGCGTAAATTTCAGTAAGTTGGGAATTTTCAACTGTGTCTGTTTTTGTAAGTCTGCAGACTCACTGACTCTCTGAGCTGAAAACCCCATGGGGATTACATGGTTCACACAGGCATGCGTGCGCAGATACATGCACAGATAGCACAGATGGGGAAACTGAGGCTCGTAAGAACTGAAGCTGGACCATCTGGCTAGTGATTGGCAGAGCCAGGATTAAAAGCAGCCAGGTCTGTAGCCCCCAAGGCGATTCTCCGGCTCTAACATGAATGTACAATATGGATGCTTTCTGAGAGGATGATGTCACCTCGGTCCGGCACGAGTGCTGAGGGAAGGGGGGCACCTAGACAAGTGTATTTACTGTACATGGCCATGTTTTGGAAAATGGACTTTGAACCAAGGCATCTGTAAGCCTGTGTGATAAACACATCGTCATAACACCTGAATCAAAAGGCTGGTTCGCTGATTTATTAGCTGGGTGATTCAGAGCACATTATTTTACTCCGTGCCTCAGTTTCCTCATCTGTGAGTTAGGGAGAGTTGAATTACCAATCTCTTTGGGTTTCAATGAGGATTGAATTATTTACTAGATATGATGTGCTTAGAATGAGGCAATGCACATTATGGCATTACGGTGTTGATGTACTTTTCTTTCAAACCAACATTTTGGCTGGAACCAAGTGAAACAAAAGAGTGGGTGTGTATCCATCCTGGTTTCACCATTTCATGCCAGTTGCCTCTACCTTTATCATGGGGTCGATGGGAGCACAGATAATTGGCAGAAAATGCAACTAGTGCTTGATTCCAAATCGTGCACTTACTACAAAAGCGCATTTAAACAACCGGTTCTATTGTATACACTTGTAAATGTCAAAATTGCAACTTGCACAAATTATCTCCAAAATTGGAGAACACAGCTGAAAACACTGCAATTGCTGAACCAGGGATGGATTCAACGCCTGAAATGTCTGGATGGATCCCTTGGCAGGGATGTTAAGGATGACTGGGTTCCTTCTTCTACAAATAGTCTAAATTCCTTGACTGGTACTCAAGGTCTTTTATAGAGATGCATTCATTTGCCTGGGGTTCAGATCTCTCTCTGCTTCCCATCACATGAACTCTGAACCAGCCACCTGAGACCACATCAGTATGGATCATGCCATGATCCTACATCTTCTCGTGCCTTAGTCCATCCTGTTCTGCAGTGGAGTGTTCTTGTTTCCAGTCCTTCTCCACCTGTCAAAGTTGTAGGCATCCTACAAATTCTGCCACCTCTCTGAGCACTTCCTCAACGCCCAGGGACCGTTAGATACTTCTCTGAACCTCCAATTCTCTGTGAAGACACTTCCTGCACTGTTTTGTCATTTAGCTGATAACCCGTGGAGGGTTTTTCTTCTTCCCTAACTTTAAGTCTCATTATATGACCTCAGAAAATGGTTTCTGGATAAACGGATGGATGGATGGATAGATGGATGGACGGTTAATTGGATGGATGAAAGGAAGGAAGGGAGAAAGACATTACTTTTTCTTTTAAAGCGTGTTATTAGAATAGCCATGGTGATTTCAGCATTTTAAAAACTGATGGTGAGAAAAAAATCTTACTGGGAGCAGGTGAGGAAAACAAACATTTGAAGTTCGGGGCGCCTGGGTGGCTCAGTGGTTTAAGCCTCTGCCTTCGGCTCAGGTCATGATCTCAGGATCCTGGGATCGAGCTCCGCATTGGGCTCTCTGCTCAGCGGGGATCCTGCTTCCCCCTCTCTCTGCCTGCCTCTCTGCCTACTTGTGATCTCTGTCTGTCAAATAAACAAAATCTTTAAAAAAAATTTGAAGTTCTATCAATATGATGTGTTGGCATGTAAAGATCTGTGTGCTTATGAGCAAGGACTGGAAGGTGACAAACAATATTGAAAATCGACCCATTAGGGTGAAGAGTATAGGTTTTTTAATTAAAAAAGAAAATCTTGGATGTTGTTGTTACATCAACAAGTTGGTCTTCTTAAATGGATGAACTCATTCTTGTAATTCATCAGTTCTGGACACAGTAACTTGGACAGTGACAGGGCTCTAGGTAGTACAATATACAGGCCAGCATCTGAGTATATATGCTCTTAAAGACTCTCCTTTGGGGGACACCTTGGTGGCTCAGTAGGTTAAGCTTCTGCCTTAGGCTCAGGTCCTGATCCTGGGATCCTGGAATCGAGCCCATTATCGGGCTCCCTGCTCAGTGGGGAGTCTGCTTCTCCTCCCTCTGCTCGTGTTTTCTCTCTCTCCCTCTCACTTGCTCACTCTCTCTCCCTCTCTCTCAAATAAATAAAATCTTTTAAAAAAGACTCTGCTTCAGGAAAAAGGAGATTTATATTATCTCGAGGGGCAAGAGGAGGTCTGGATTTTTGTAAAGATTTTATTTATTTATTTTAGAGAGAGAGGGTAAGCAGGAAAAGGAGCAGATGGGGAGGAAGAGGGAGGGAGAAAGAATCTCAAGCAGACTTTGTGCTGAGCATGGAGCCCAATGCGGGGCTTGATCTCATGACCCTGAGACCATGACCTGAGCTGAAACCAGGAGTTGGATGCTCAACTGACTGAGCTACACCGGCACCCTGAGGAAGTCTAGATTTTATAGCACTAGAACATCGAGGCCATCGGTATTTTTAAGACTCCAGTTGGAAGACTGGTACAACTGAAATAAGATAAAGGAAAATGGAGGTAGCAAGAGAATTGACCTGTCCTGGGATGCAAAGTGAGTTCTTCTCGGAGTTTCCGGAAGTATGCATGGCAGTGAGAGGAGCAGGCCAGGAATGGGTCATCTCCTGGTGAGGAAAAACAAAGAAACTTTATTTTGGGGCACTTAGCAAATGAAATATTTTCTTGGCACTAAATATAGCAGGGTCCTTTATAAATACTTAAGGACTCAGCTGGCCTTAATTGTTTTCAGGAGAACTTAAATCAATTCCATCTGCTCCCCTGCCCCATTCTGGTTCTGGAAGCCTATCTACGACACAAGGGGCCATCTGACATCCACTCCCACAGAGCCAGGAACAGGGAGCTCACTAAGTCTTGAAGCAGCCTGTCCCACATTGAGACAGTCCGATCACACTATTCCTCCTGGTTGTGAGCTAAACGCCTGTCTCCCAGGAGTCACTCTCTAAGGATCATACTTTGGAACCGCACAGAATATATCTCATCTCCTCTTCTTTCACATGGCAAGCCTTCAGCTGGTGGAAGACAGCAATCCTATCCCCTGGTACTGCCTTTCTCTAGTCTGAGACATTTGTAGCTTCTTTATTCATTCATTGGCAACCTTTAACTTTTCTTCTAATGCTTGGGTTCTGCATTCTGTCAACTCTCCTAAGTGCTTCCAGGAGGGCCTTCTGATGGCCTGGGGCTCTTCCAGCTCCTGGTATCCTGTTTCCCATGTGATCTGCCCAGCTCGGCGGGGGAAGGGCAGTACGGTCACTACCTTTGCTCCCTCCCTCTGGATACTCTGATACTCCTTTCCCTTGGCAGAGCCTCACAGTAACAAGGTTGGGCATGTGTCGTTGATTTCTCCATGCAAAGACAAGGCCGCTGAGGAGAATTTGTTCTCATTCACAGAGAAGGTTACTATGAGATTGGTAGTGCCATTCCGCCCAGCCAGACACAGGGTGCTTCTGTGAGTTTGAGTCTCAACATAGGAAGGAGAGGTCCCTGCAGCTCCCACTCCCCATTATCAACAGGGGCACCTTCTTGATTCCTTCAAACTCCCAGTTTGAAAAGAGCTGCTGTTCAAATCGTGCTTGAGTCTTAGGGCTCGTGGCCAACATGATTTACTCGGAGAAGAAGGGTGACTAAATCATAGGCCCAAGGTCCCAGCACCAGGGATGACACAGTTTATGAAGCAGGAGCAGACCAGCCTGTGTTGCACTCATCAGACATTCTGGTGTAGAAACACTCAACATAAAAACCAGTGCAATAATGGACAAAAAGAAAAGCTTTGGAGAGGAGTGGAGAGGATCAAAGTTTATGAAAGGTCTTTTATTATTTATTTATTTTTAATGAGACAGTTACATAACACTTTCTCCCCATCTTTACGGGTAACATAATTAGTCATTTCAAAGGTAATATTAATAAGGACTCTCAGGTAGCACTAAAACATGTTTTTCCCCCCCCTTCTATAATTACCCAGTTCAAAAAGAGCCTTTGATGTATGAAGAGCTACTTCATGGATTCATTCACAGCAGCAGTGCTGAAGCAGAATTCGTAAGTATGATTCAGACAAGGGCTGACACAGATTGGAGTCTACCTAGCACTATTTAAAAGGAGGCACTAAGGACATTAAAAATGCATATGAGATTTAGAGGGGATGCTTAACCTACTTAAGAGAGAGACTATTTTCAAGTGTTTTTGAGTTGTGCATTTGTATGCAGTTGATAACGTTACTATGCTACTTCTGCATTCATCAACACTGGCCCAAAGTAACTCTCCGCGACAAGAGTTGGAAGCCTAATTCTAATTACTGAAGGATTTATTTTACATTTTAGGTGTTTTCTTTTACTGATGAAGGTTGGTCTTCTCCAAAATCTGTCCCACGTAAAACATACAGGTCTTATTTAGCCAAGGGGCAGGAAGGCCCCCGTTGGGATCTGGAAGAGTTGTCTCTTATCGGCAACTAGGCAGTGCCCCTGGGTTTTTGAAAAGGTGTTTCAGGGGCACCTGGGTGGTTCAGTGGGTTAAGCCTCTGCCTTTGGCTCAGGTCATGATCTCAGGGTCCTGGGATCGAGCCCCGCGTCAGGCTCTCTTCTCAGCTGGGAGCCTGCTTCTCCCTCTCTCTCTGCCTGCCTCTCTGCCTACTTGTGATCTCTCTCTCTGTGTCAAATAAATAAATAAAAATCTTAAAAAAAAAAAAAGAAAATGTGTTTCAGACACCTGAAAGGATGAACTCCCTCCTCAGAGGTGTACCCCTCTCCCCCAGGTCATCTGAATTTACTCTGTGGCAGAATGGGGTTATCTTAAATCGCTGTCCAAGCATGCCACATTGCTGGCCAGGCCACAAGGAACCACAACCGCGTCTGCATTTTCAACAACTGATTCTCTATTGGAAATGTGAGATTTCAGGAAATGGCAAGCCAATTCCGTGTTACCACTGATGCATTTGATTAAATCACAGAAGGTGTAGTTGAAAGGAATATAATTTCCTGAAAAGCTATCTTCAGCAAGAAACTTTGGTGCAAGTTCTTTCACTTCTCAAAATGAGCTAGACCTGTAAAGTGTGAAAAGCTCACAGCAGATTTTCCATTGTCATCCTTTTCATTCACACTTGAAGGATATTAATCTATTTTTATGTTCTTGCTATTCTCAAGATAAGAACACCCATGCATCCCAATCTAACTATACTAAGTCTGCCTGTTCATCAGATAGGGATGAGTACCTGCTGCAGAGTGTTGCCAAAGCTTCTACAACAGGCTCCAGGTCTGAGCACTCGTACTGAACACCAAGCACCACTCCCATTAACAACACAGATGTAGGCATGCATGCACATGAAATGGGTCTGAAGCTCCTTCATCTCCAGGCTCCCTCAATCCTCCCCAAGAAAGAACTAAAGCAGGGGCTCATCTTGCCACTGGACAGTGGTAAGTGAATGCTGAGGACCAGTTCCAAAGCACACATTCTTTCCTCTACCCCAGATAGGTCGACTATTATTGTAGAGTTGACTACCATGATTAATGGAGAAAGAACAAAGGAAGAAATGATGTGTTATCTTTCAGCATTTGACAAAGAATAGGTTTCACAAGGGACGAGAGTTCTATGTGATCTCTAACCATGGGATGGATGCTTAAATTAGTGTGAACTGAAGACTTCAAGGTCAAACCCAGAAAAATCAGAAAAGGCCCAATTTTCTTTTTTAAAAGATTTTATTTGTTTGTTTGTTTATTTGTTTAGAGCACTAATTGGGGGAGGAGCAGAGGGTGGCATTGAATCTCAAACAGACCCCATGCTGACCGCAGAGCCCAATGCAGGGCTCGATCCCATGGCCTTGAGATCATGACCTAAGCTGAAACCAAGATTCAGACACTCAACTGACTGAGACACCCAGGCATCCCTCTCTTTCTTTCTTTTTTTTTTTAAGATTTTTTTTTATCTACTTGAGAGGGGTAGTGTGGAGGGGCCCAGGGAGAGAATCTCAAGCAGACTCCTGCTGAGCACAGGGCCCAACAGGGGGATCAATCTCCTGACCCTGAGATCATGACCCGAGCCAAAAATCAAGAGTTGGATGCTCAACCAATTGAGCCATTCCAGTGGCCCAGATAAGGCCCAATTTTCCACGAGTGATTACTTCTACACCATATTATCCATATCATAGTTCATGGCTAGAACTCTGGTGAATCTAAAACAACTTGTGGGGAGAATCACTTTGTTGGACTTAGACACACAAGCTGGGTGCACCACTGGCTGAGGAGTAGAAGAAAGTCTGGGTTCCAGACTCCCCTAACACAGAGCTGTCTGGCTAGCTGTTCTTTGTAGTAACTAGGATGTTGTCCCAGCCTTGTCTTCCTCAACTTTGTATCTCCAGTGCCTAGTATATAGTGACTAGTTAATATGAGATATTATTATTATTAGTGTCTGAAGTTTCTGTGTTTGAATTAATAATAAGAATCATAGCAAGATTCACCAAGCACTTAGAGTGTGCCAAGCACTCAGTTTCCACACTCAGTCTTTGTATGCTACAAAATAAAGAGGCAGGAGTTACCATCATACTCCTTTGGAGACACAAGAGATCAAGTGACCTATCCAAGGCCACACAATCAGTAAATGGCTGGGTCTGTTTTGTTCTACTAACTTCTACCAAATATTCATTATGTATAAGACCCTGGGATCTAGAAAGGATACAAAGTCAAGCTCCTACTCCAGAAGAGCTCACTCTGCTTAATATGCTAACCACCTCCCAAGGGGAATATGCCCAGGTGCTGGAAGGAATCTATTGTGTGAGGCTTTTGGGAAAGGCTTCATAGTGAAGGTGAGAGGAGCCGAGCGTGTGCACATACATGTGTGCATGTGTGTGTCTGCATGTGTATCCTTTCAGAGGAACATTCTATGTGGTAGATGTTCAAGTGGTGTATGTTTGGGTTAAACAGCATAACATAAATATTAAGGTCCTTACCGTGAAGATTTAACTAAAGAGATGATTAATTTTTCATATAACTATATTCATGAATGAAATGGTGGGAGCTTACATATTTCATTATTGTTGTTAGAGTCAGAATGATCCCCCAAAGATCCCTGGACTAAGAGTAAGGAGAGCTTAACTCATGTCCAGATTGGCAGAGAGCTACCTGAGTGACCCTGGTCAAGCTGCTTGCCCTCTCTGAGCCTCAGTGTTCCTACCTGCAGCACGTGGGCTTTGGCTGAGATGGCCTCCAGGGGTTCTCGCAGCTGTCCCCACTGTTAACCTCTGCCGCCACGTCTTCAGGCCTGCCGCAAGGGAAAGGGAGCTACTGCATGGCTCAGGGGTCTGGACAGCATGGTGTTGGACATGCATAAGACCTGTCAGGACGAGCCCTGCAAGCAGACCTTGAGCACTGCCTGCATGAGCTTAGCAGACAGGCAGCTCAGGCTCTGTCCAGGGCTCCAGCTGAGAGGGGTTCCATACACCTTGCCCCTCCCCTCTATTGAAATGCAAAGACCAAAACAGCTGCAATTTGGGAAGTACAAATTCTTGCGATGAAGAGTAACAGTGGGAGCAGCTGTTTTTAAAACACAAATATGATTGAACAGAAGTCCACAAAATTGGGTTGGAGTTTATTTTCAGAGACTTAGACTTAAGTGACCTTGG